CTGAAAAAGTATGTTCCGGACCCCGCTCGAGCGATCGACTATCATGGGCTGTTAGAACACGTTAAGTTGACCGGATATCAGTGAAAAAATTTTGGGCGTAAAGCGATTTTGAAAAATGACAGGTGTTTTTTCGAATTCTGATCGAAGTGCGGATCGGGGTGTTCCAGACCCCCCTGGTGGAAACGGCTTGGTGGGATGTTAGAACATGTTAAATATGCACGATTTGCACAAAAAAATTTTGGGCGTAAGCCAATTTTTTTTAAATATATTTTTTTTCGTGAGGACGCCATATAAACCCACCCTAACTCTGAAAAAGTATGTTCCGGACCCCGCTCGAGCGATCGACTATCATGGGCTGTTAGAACACGTTAAGTTGACCGGATATCAGTGAAAAAATTTTGGGCGTAAAGCGATTTTGAAAAATGACAGGTGTTTTTTCGAATTCTGATCGAAGTGCGGATCGGGGTGTTCCGGACCCCCCTGGGGGAAACGGCTTGGTGGGATGTTAGAACATGTTAAATAAACACGATTCGCACAAAAAAATTTTGGGCGTAAGCCAATTTTTTTGAAATATAATTTTTTTAGCGCGAACGCCATATAAACCCACCCTAACTCTGAAAAAGTATGTTCCGGACCCCGCTCGAGCGATCGACTATCATGGGCTGTTAGAGCACGTTAAGTTGACCGGATATCAGTGAAAAAATTTTGGGCGTAAAGCGATTTTGAAAAATGACAGGTGTTTTCTCGAAATCTGATCGAAGTGCGGATCGGGGTGTTCCGGACCCCCCTGGGGGAAACGGCTTGGTGGAATGTTAGAACATGTTAAATAAACACGATTCGCACAAAAAAATTTTGGGCGTAAGCCAATTTTTTTGAAATATAATTTTTTTAGCGCGAACGCCATGTAAACCCACCCTAACTCTGAAAAAGTATGTTCCGGACCCCGCTCGAGCGATCGACTATCATGGGCTGTTAGAACACGTTAAGTTGACCGGATATCAGTGAAAAAATTTTGGGCGTAAAGCGATTTTGAAAAATGACAGGTGTTTTCTCGAAATCTGATCGAAGTGCGGATCGGGGTGTTCCGGACCCCCCTGGGGGAAACGGCTTGGTGGAATGTTAGAACATGTTAAATAAACACGATTCGCACAAAAAAATTTTGGGCGTAAGCCAATTTTTTTGAAATATAATTTTTTTAGCGCGAACGCCATGTAAACCCACCCTAACTCTGAAAAAGTATGTTCCGGACCCCGCTCGAGCGATCGACTATCATGGGCTGTTAGAACACGTTAAGTTGACCGGATATCAGTGAAAAAATTTTGGGCGTAAAGCGATTTTGAAAAATGACAGGTGTTTTTTCGAATTCTGATCGAAGTGCGGATCGGGGTGTTCCGGACCCCCCTGGGGGAAACGGCTTGGTGGGATGTTAGAACATGTTAAATAAACACGATTCGCACAAAAAAATTTTGGGCGTAAGCCAATTTTTTTGAAATATAATTTTTTTAGCGCGAACGCCATGTAAACCCACCCTAACTCTGAAAAAGTATGTTCCGGACCCCGCTCGAGCGATCGACTATCATGGGCTGTTAGAACACGTTAAGTTGACCGGATATCAGTGAAAAAATTTTGGGCGTAAAGCGATTTTGAAAAATGACAGGTGTTTTTTCGAATTCTGATCGAAGTGCGGATCGGGGTGTTCCGGACCCCCCTGGGGGAAACGGCTTGGTGGGATGTTAGAACATGTTAAATAAACACGATTCGCACAAAAAAATTTTGGGCGTAAGCCAATTTTTTTGAAATATAATTTTTTTAGCGCGAACGCCATGTAAACCCACCCTAACTCTGAAAAAGTATGTTCCGGACCCCGCTCGAGCGATCGACTATCATGGGCTGTTAGAACACGTTAAGTTGACCGGATATCAGTGAAAAAATTTTGGGCGTAAAGCGATTTTGAAAAATGACAGGTGTTTTTTCGAATTCTGATCGAAGTGCGGATCGGGGTGTTCCGGACCCCCCTGGGGGAAACGGCTTGGTGGGAAGTTAGAACATGTTAAATAAACAGGATTCGCACAAAAAAATTTTGGGCGTAAGCCAATTTGTTTGAAATATAATTTTTTTGCGCGAACGGCATGTAAACCCACCCTAACCCTGAAACAGTATGTTCCGGACCCCGCTCGAGCAAACGACTACCATGGGCTGTTAGAACACGTTAAGTTGACCAGATATCCGCGAAAAAATTTTGGGCGTAAGGTGATTTTCAACAATTACGGGTTTCCGATCTGATTCAAAATAGTAATTTTTTATATCTATATATTTTTTTGGAGGTAAACCACGAGTTAATGCCATGTCCACTCAAGGACACTTGAGGTATGTTTGTCTTATGCGATTAACGCAAAAACCGCATTTTTTCATTATAATTTTCACGAAATAATAACTTTTTCGCGTTACTCACCACTTTGGGGATGTTTTTGGGGAAGGGGGGTTAGACTTCAATGACACATAAAAACACATAAAATAAACGATACTGCATGAAAACCGCATTGATTTACGCACATTTAAAGCCAAAAGACGTGGTTGTACGTTGAAATGACAAATTTTGTGCACTGCTGCCTTTATAACGTTTTCGATCGCACACGATCGATCGGTTCTTCAGCCACATGATATATTGATATTTTGACGCTAACTACTTATATATTTATTAGATATTTAAATTTCAGGTACGCTATAGATATTTTAATCATTGGTGTTAATTGAAAGATAATAGTTGCCACATTTCAAAGTTTTTTCACCCTTCAAGAAATTTGTTTACTTGATTTACTTCACCTAAGGGCGGATCCAGCCTTTGAGTCAGGGGCGTCATTTCATCAAGGTACCAGTCAGGACTGACCACAATGCGCTCAATTTAATAATAGTAATTTAACAAAAAGCTTTAGTTTTCAGATGAAAGGACTTATCACCTATAGATCGACAATGTTTTGAGCCTCCTGAGAATATAGAAGATCTCAGCTGTCGTTAAACTAACTGGTGGTGTATCAAGAATGATTTTTTTTGTACCTGGAGGCACCTGTAATCTGATCTACAGCTAATATAACGGTAGCTTCGCCCCTGTATTCGATATATGTATAATAGGTGCGTCGAATTATCAAGGTTGCGAGCATATAACGCGAAAAACGGAGATTCACTTTTCCTCACGACAGCGAAGTTTGAACATTTTTTTTTTGAAATGAGTGACCCGGTTTTTCGCATAACACATCCAAAATGTGAAATTACAATGCTTCCTAATCGGTGGCGTAAAGTGGAGTTAAATGAACTGTGCTTTGCACATATTGATGTTTATGTTTGAAGCTGGGAAGTAAAAAGTCGTAAGTCCAGTTTGACCCTTTTTTGCGTTAATGTCATAAATAACTTACACTAATTTAGCTTAGTATTGTAACAAAAAAAAACATTGAAGCTAATAGTTTGTCGGTTTTAGATATTTTTAATTTTAAAGGTGAATAAGTATATTCATTTAAAGTGTAGTAAAGTTTTGTTCATTACTCAAAACTTTTGATATATTGATATTTTGACGCTAACTACTTATATATTTATTAGATATTTAAATTTCAGGTACGCTATAGATATTTTAATCATTGGTGTTAATTGAAAGATAATAGTTGCCACATTTCAAAGTTTTTTCACCCTTCAAGAAATTTGTTTACTTCATTTACTTCACCTAAGGGCGGATCCAGCCTTTGAGTCAGGGGCGTCATTTCATCAAGGTACCAGTCAGGACTGACCACAATGCGCTCAATTTAATAATAGTAATTTAACAAAAAGCTTTAGTTTTCAGATGAAAGGACTTATCACCTATAGATCGACAATGTTTTGAGCCTCCTGAGAATATAGAAGATCTCAGCTGTCGTTAAACTAACTGGTGGTGTATCAAGAATGTTTAAAACATTCTTAAGTTGGGATACGTTTTAGTATCGCCATTTTCTATAAGACCAAAAAAATATAAGTGGTCCATCTCGAAACATTATTTTGTTGATTGCGATTGCAAATCAGCAGAAACTCGAAAAATCTCTAAAAACTGAGTATGAGGGCTATCTGAAACTTTGCGTGATCGCTCATAACTCCAACGTCACTGAACCAAGCTTTTTTGTTCTTGGCATGTTAGTACCCTTGCACGGCATGGCCATATTGCAGGATTGAAATCGGCTAATTTGTACCTTAGGCATCATCATTATGACTTTGAATTTTGTATATACGAAAGGTCTAGCTTATGTACCCCAAGACTAGACTATGTGTTTGTATCATAAGTATCCTGGCATTAATACAACGATGGCCTGTAGCTTGCAGAAATTCTGACAACTGATATAGCTGTTCGGATTATTCCCATAATAGGTTTGCTCGAAAATAGGTACCATTAACATACATATACTCGTATACTATTAGTGTATATTAGTATATTGTGAGCTTAGCTGTAAGCTCAATGTTCCCGACAAGGGTCGTAGATAGGCTTATTAACACTTTATTTTCACAAACACAGTAGATTGGCTGGTAATTTGAACTTATAACTATAATTTTATAGAGGTCCGGAAATATTTTTAAAAAATGTAGTTTGTCAGCTCAATGAGTACATGTATGAAGACATTAGCTTGAGAGACTATTGGTAAGACGATAATCACATCTGGTTATATATGCAATAATAAATGACAAATGGCAAATATAGATTCTGGTAAAATGGATTTCTCCATTATCAATAGCTCAAGACCTTTAATAAATGCAGAAATAAGAAACTCATACTCGCTGCACTGATGAAAGGAATTGACGTTTTCAAACTGTATCATAATAATGGCAACATAGTGCAGCGACAGGTACAAAATAGATTGATAAAGCTGAAGCTTATAAATGAAGGGGAGCGAAATATGTAAAGATTATTGTATACAATGCAGGAAACAGAGATACTGCTAGATGTATGATACGATCAAATTTTGTGTGGAAACGTAAAAAATAGTTACCTTCACATCCTTTGTAAGCCTTGGACATATCAAGCGCAGATTCCTGCACGTCACTGTCTCCATCTCTACTATCTTCTTTCCTACTCAAAATATCGTTTATGGAAAACGGCGTCATTGTCGTACTTCTCTCCTTCAAACTATGCTGACTCAGCTCTTCATCCATCCCGAAAACCAAAAAAGTCCTTGTTCAGTCACAAATATCGAAAATAGCAAAGAACTTGTGTTCTACTTGATCTTGGCGAACACTACGCGATCTCAAGTTTATCAGTCTTTCATGTGATTGTATCTAGTACAGCTGACGTTCGAAGCTTCAAATGCTCGTTCAAAGTTGCAGCGTTCTTATGTATGTCTTCTAGGGTTTACAATAATTGAGTTATGTATAGCTCAGCTTCATTTTGCCAACGTTGTGTGCCTCAGGTTTCCGTTACAACAAACATTAACACTGAAATACTAAACAAATACAAAGCTCTTGTTTTTTTCTATTTCTAATATTGTTCGAAGCTCTATTTTCTTAACCTTCTAGAGTTTGCTGTTTAGAAATCTCTTCCAGTTTCTTCTTATATCTTCGCAACACACGACTCTCTACTTTCTTCTTCTCTCAGGATTTCAGCTTCTCCACATCTTCTTCCAAGCGTCTTTCGTGTTTAACAGTTTCTTCAGTTTATTTCAATATATTTTCGTCTTTACACCAAAAAGTCTTTGCAAATTGTTTGATCCACAAAAATCACAATACTATGTCCTCCTATTGCATTTAACACCTATTACGGGTGAAAATTCGTTTTTCTACGAGACTATCTTCCTAACACACGTCGAACATGTTCTCACCACGAATCACTGAATCAAACTACTCCCGTTACGAAATAACCGAGCGATGCAGGAGCCACGAGCTTATTTCTGTCCTGCTCTAACCCGTTTATAAAGCGCCGTCTGTCTCTCTCGCTCCTGGATGATTTGATTATCCAGGGGGTGGGACTTGTGTCACGTTAAACGCCGTATCGTGATCTAGTGGTCTGAGCGATTGTTGATTTTTATTGCTGGGATATGGTGTTTGACGTGTTCTACGATTGTTAGGTAGGCGTCGTTTGGGAACTTTTTGGCTATTCCAGGCTTTTAATGTATGGGCTGTTTAAATTTTACAAAGCTTTAAACAAGTTTAACTGCTTGATGTATAATACTTGATGTCTATATTATTCATATGAGTGTTGAGTTGTTTTACCCATCTGACTGCTTATTTCCATTTTTGTCACGAAGGCAGATCTGAAGTACTGGTATACTAGGGCTACTATAAGGCAGTTAACAGGAGCTTCTCGATATGAATGTTGCCTGATTCTGTTTGATTCAACGTTCAATCTAACAGGAATATCACATAACCGTGAAAAGACCGCAATTCTTACAATAGCGATTAAAAAATTCGCACTATTACAATACTTTTCCACATCAAAGCAGCCGTGCAGGCAAAAGCCTAAGCGCCAGGGCACCTTTTCCGATTTTTGAACTGTCTAAGGTTAGAAGAACTGGGAAAATCCTCCTCTTGTATTTTGGTGCACAATCTCGACACCCCAAGGATAAAGGAGCGATCGTATCAGTAGATCAACACGCTTAGGATGGAAGGCCGAAGTCAGTCGGGTCTGTCTGGCAGGCACATGGCGTGGCGGCGTCATGGAGGAGAGCTCTGGAAAGGCTCCTAGGACTGTTAGAGAACAGTCATGGATCAGTCGGAGAGCACTCCTCCAAACAGCATGGACAATGTGGTCGGGGCGGCAGCACCCCTGACATGTGAGCAATACTCGAGGCTAGGTCTTACCTGGGCTTTGTAAAGAGTGATGAGGTCATGTGTTAGAGACACATCAAGTCCTCGGTGATCTAGACTACGACCAGCCGAAATGAATGGGTCCTTGATAGAACTCGGCCACCCACCAAAACCAGATGAACAGTCGGACGCTTCTTGTTAGTCAAAGTACACAACTGTGTTTTTTAAGCATTAAACTGTTCAAGGTTGTTGCGTCCCAAAGCTCTGACAACTTTCACTGCTGGTATTCTTTTTTCTGCTCACCGGCAGAGATCGACCTGTCGCTCTAAATTCCTGCATGTGGAGTGCTGTCATCAGAAAGAGGTTGGATTGATCGTACAGGAAAGGATATATATTGATATGTAAGACGAACGATGTCGGAGCCAAGATCGATCACTGGGGAATACTCATATTGACGTTGTGGAAGAAGATGAGAACCTAGCAATTGCGACGAATATCTTGCAGCCAGACAGAAAGAAAGTCCGCCACCCATCTGCAAAGCTTCTCTAGGAGGTCATAGGATGAAAGTTTGGATAAGAGATGCAGCTGATCGAACGCTTTCGTGATATCAAGAGTAACGAGATGAGCCTCACCATATGACTGGATGAGTTTATTCCACAATTGCATGACGGAAGCTAGGAGGTACCCTGCGGATCGCTGGTGCCGGAAACCATAGTGCCTGTCGCTAATCAAGCCGTGACGATCGAGGAACTCTAGAAGTTCGCGATCTATGCACCTCTCCATTACCATGCTTATAACAGAGTGCAGAGCTGTAGGCCTGTAGTTTTAAGGGTCCGTCTCAGATCCCTCTTTTAGGACGGGCTGGAAAAGAGCAAATTTCCAGTTTTCTCGGAAGGTTCCGGATCTGTAAGATAGTAAGGTATCTGGAACAGACGCGAAAGAACTGGAACAAGCTCCGCTGCAGCTGAATCAGTCCCGCAGGATTGAAAGGCGGGATTCTTATCATTTCTAGAGCTACAATGCTTTTTAGTCCGTGTCAAGGTTATAATTTTATGTAAAAATTTCCTCATAATCTAGGTGGTCCATAATATCCATAATTTGTTTTTCACTATTACCCTTGTCGCGCTAGACCGATTTTCTAGAACAGTACGATTCTATGTTCTTGCTCCAGTAGTAATTGTTGTCCAAATTTTTCTTTCTTAGCTACAGAGAAGCTAAAGGCTGCCGGATAAATGCCAGTGGAATCACATGTACATATGAGATCTAAAAATGGAGTTACGTAAATTGAGTTAGTACTTCACTCGCACTCAATAAATATGTTACAGGATTTTTCAGACTATTGTTGTGTAGGAAAGTGGAAATGAAAATAAAAAACAAACGAGGTTTCATCTGAAAGATAGATAATTGAAATATATGGGTGGGGGGGATCCATGTGTGGACAGAATACCTATTACTCATAAACAATTGCATTTTGGGGAAACTTATATATGGAATGTTATACATGACATGGAATGCCTCAAATTTAATTAAATTTGGATAAATCAATTCAAAGGAAGAAAATTGATATAACATACTAGGTATGTGGTTTTGGCAATTAGCTAGTGAGATATAAGGTGTTTTGTCTAGAAAAACCCCCCACTGCGGCAACCCCTCAGTCCGCCATTTTGAAATTTGGGGTGCTGAATTTTGTATCAAAAAAAACTTACATACCTCAGCTTCTATATTATTTATTACTTTTTAGAATTTAAATTTTTGCTCATACAGGGTGGTCAAAAACGCAAATTGTAGTTTTTCTCAGAAACTTCAAATAGATCAACCTGTGTATTTGTGCAAGCTTGGATTCAATTTTGTATAAGCCTTTTTCGATACTAGACACATAAAGATTTTTACGGCTATGTTTTCGGTTATTAGCACGTCTTTTATGGAACGGCTTGATTCCCTAAAATATCGCATCATCCTTGGAAACAAATAAATTGTTGATTAGTTAGTACAAACTGTCAAAATTATCTTTGTGGGCATTTCTAATAAAAGCATGTTTGAAAATGAATCTTTCTAAAGGAGAAATGGTGAATATGGTGTTCGTTTTGGGCGGGAGTCCAATAACTGAAGACGATCCCACTGGGATGAAACAGTATTTAGGCTCAACCTTTGCGGCTGCTCCAACATATTCTTCACTTTTAAATTTTTCAGACGATCTATATTGACACCAGCTTCTGTAATAGTTATTTTATAATAATTATCCTAGCGATATTAAATCAATAAGCTGCGGAATCAAAAAGGGTAATAACCCTAATAAAATCATTTCGACAAGTTCATGCTGCCATAATTCTACTTCCTGTCACCCTGCCAAGTCTGCACGTGTCGAGCGCTTTCAACTTTTCTACACAGACTTGGATATACTTAATACCATTGCCAACATAAAGGACAATCAAATTTCCGGTTTCGTAAATAAATCTTCTACGCCACTATTAATTTTAGTGACAGGGTAGCTTGTTGTTTTGCCTGTCTTTTGTTTTTATACAAAATGGGACTTTTGGTGGAATTTGGGGTGAGGGATGGAGCTGATGATAACAAGGGGATGTTTTCAAACAATTTATTAATTCGTCATGTAATAATAAGAATCCTTGTAGAAAAATATATTTACAGTCACAAAATACATATTTATCACATTTTTTAGATGCTTCCTTGGCAGAGATTTCTCAAGCGCTTCACAATATCAATATCTGGCTGCTGGAAATGCTATTGGAATCAGTTTATCGCGTTGTATTCTGGAAGGGACTGACCCAAAATTACAGTACTTGTACTTGTACATCCTCATATGTACCCCGAAATACGAATGTTTGATTGTTCAAGCTAGTAAGGGTGTGTTACTTTGGCCGCAGAAGCTCAACATTCTGCTAGTACAGATTCTCTTACTGATAAAATATCTGGTGTGTGTTCTGAAAGAACACCTGGCTACACCCGGAAATACTCAGACTCTTTACAAAAGGAAGTTTCTAGTTCTAAAACTACTCTGTTTTTGTCTTGCCTAATGTCTTGCCTAATGTCTTAATTAAGGAAAACCTGGATGAATACATAACAATGATGGAAAACAATATATTGAACGACAGCCGATACTTTTGGAAATACGTTTCAAGTAAGAAAAAATGTCATGTCTCTATACCTAGTTCTATAAATCATTCAAACTATGAAGTTAAAACAGGAAGTGGGGTGTGTAATGCCTTTGCTGATTTCTTTGCAAGTGTATATGTTAAATCTAAACATTATTATTTAAACAAGGATGCTAGTCCTATTGATGTTACCTTAATATCCATTGAAAAAATATATCAACAAATAGTGTCCTTAGAAATTAAAAAATCAGTAGGCCCTGACCGCATACCTTCTGTATTTATAAAAAACTGTTCCGCTAGCTTATGTTTACCACTTCACCTAATTTTCAAACTATTATTAACTCAAAGAGTCTTTCCAACGAGATGGAAAGAAGGTGAAATATTGCCTATTCATAAAGGAGGCGATAGACATCTTGTGGAAAATTATCGACCTATCACTAAACTTTGTATTTTCTCAAAACTTTTTGAAAAGCTGATTTATGATCCTATCTTAAACATTACAAAAAATCTCATTACGGAACACCAGCATGGATTTTTCCCTAAAAGATCTGTAGAGACGAATTTGATGAGTTTTATAGAATATGCCTCTCACGCAATAGATGAGAAACTGCAGGTGAATGTTATTTATACCGACTTCAGTAAGGCTTTCGACAAATTGATCATTCTATCTTGATGGAGAGACTTGCTGAGGTGGGTGTAGATGGTCCATTATGGCAGTGGCTAGCATCGTATATAAGTAATCGTAAACAAGTGGTGACTATCAATGGGTATCGTTCGGAGACATTCTTAGTAACTTCAGGCATACCACAAGGTAGTCACTTAGGATCATTGTTATTTAACATATACATGAACAACCTTACTTCTGTTTTTCATTTCAGTAAATATTTGTTATATGCTGGTGATCTAAAGATATTTACTATTGTTAGAAATGTAAATGACGGTGTAAAACTTCAAAGCGATTTGGAATCTCTGCAAATGTATTACACCGAAAACAGTATCTTCCTGAATTTAACAAAATGTCATTACATGAGGCTTACTAGAAACATAGCGAACACTATAGATTTCAGATATAAGATAGGGACGGCAGAACTGGAAAAGCTTCATGTAGTAAAAGACCTAGGGGTATACATTC